AAAGTAAATTATTTTTCAAAAATTGACAAAGCCAAAATGACTTGTGTATAAGTTTCGGCATCATCAAAAAGGGGGAAATTGTTAGGAATAAATTGTAAAATTTTTATGAGCCGAATGTATTTTTGAAAAATCAAGTAGTCCTTAATTGTATTTTATTTGAGTTAGTATTGAGTCCACAGAGTATGGTGCACCCATATCATGCAACCCATGTACAAGTCTTGAAGATCATAATTTATTTGAAGAGTTAAGCGGGATTATAGCTTAACACAATTATGATGCGTATAAATCACCAAGAATCATGCTAGAAGAGTTGGATGATACGCGTGTGAGCTATGCCAAATGATCCTAAGTGACTAAGTAAGCTTGGGAGACTAACCAAGAAGGAGACTAGCTAGCTTGGGAGACTACGACACCGTATGGGAGACTAAGTAAGCTTGGGAGACTAACCAAGAAGGAGACTAGCTAGCTTGGGAGACTAACCAACTTGGAAACTAGGCAAGAAGGAGACTAACCAAGTTGGAGACTATGTAGCTTGGAGACTAAGCATCAAATAATGAAGGAATGCACCAGTCTCACAAAAGTCTTGCACCATATGAAGAAACACACCATGTAAGGTGAACCAAGCACAAAATCGAAACAGAGAATCTCACCATGCACAAACCATGAAGTTTTTACAGAGGTTCCAATATATCATTCTACATGGATTATGAAGAAGAAAATAACTGATATATTTTTATCTGAAGATCAACCTTTTCACGATAGAACCGGGGACGCTCGAAGAAGGCTGATTCACGGAGATATATTTTCATACTCAAGCAAGAATCAGCAGATGAATTATTTGATCAACTTGATATGTCAAAACATTTATGAATGGCAAGAAATGTCCAGCTTGCCGCGCCGAACTTATTTAGATTTTGGAGGCTACATTTCTCAAGAGACGGCAATAGGCAAAATATTCAAATCATCTGACAAAAGGTGAAAGACTACTGCCTAACATTTCAGATCAAGTTGACAACTTTATTTTGATCAACTACATACGAAGATGGACGATCGAGATCGAAAGTTGATCAATGGACAAATAGCTTTGATTGGCTATAAATTGTCCAAACAGACTTGAAGACAAGCACCAACTTTGAATACGGCTGATTGATTAAGATATACAAGCAAGAGAAAAGCAAGCAATATTCAAATCAACCAAGAAGATAATTTGAGCTTCATAGAATAATATTCAAGTCTGAGTGAGGGAGAAATATTTTATTTCTTTGTAATCTTCTCTATTGAGTGTAGAAAGAGGGCCGAGTAACTAGAGAGTGTGAAAAACCCTGGTTGAGTGCAGCTTTGTGCGTAGAACTCGTTGTAAAGGGTAGAGTAACAAGGGGAGCTTGTGAAAACCCTGTGAGAGCATAGCTTTGTGCGTAGTTCTCGTGGTGTAGGAGTATAGCTTGGTGCGAAGTACTCGGGAAGATGGAGTAACAAGAGGAGCTTGTGAAAACCCTTGGTGGAGTGTAGCTTTGTGCGTAGCACTCGGAGAAGTGTCGGTGGACACTTATTCACTATTGTATCTGGGTGATCGAAGAATAGTGAATTCCCGCCTTGGAGTAAATGGAGAAGAGTGGAGTAGGAGAATTACACCATCTCCGAACCACTATAAATCTCTCTCTCTCTTTACTTACTGCTCATTTATTTTGTGCATGTTTGTTCTAACTGCGAACTTACCTGATTACGATTTATCGCATATCTTTAACTGTCTGGTTTTGATAGTTCCCACGTTTGCATGCAAGCTAAGCCAAAGTTTACATACATCATCCTTGAGCTATATCAAGTGTTTCTAACGTGTTGCATGTTTAGAATCTCTCTTTGAGCACTACACAATCAAGCATAACACTTTACCACTATCTATTCCGTTGCACACTCTAAGTTGTTTAACTTGTTGATGCTTGTTATTTAGAGTTGAAATTACCAAAGTGTTATTTGCCTTGTGTGTTTTAAAAAGAAGTTGAAAAAGTTAGAGAAGTCTATTCACCCCCCCCCCCCTCTAGGCTTCTCGCCACCCTTTCGGGACCAATAGTATTTATTTATAAAATGTTGGGAAAATATCATAAAATGACATTTTAAGTGACTATTTTGTAGTACAAATATGTGGGGTTCATTTTTAATTTGGGTCGGGTCAAAGTGGAATTGATTCGTAGTGAGACGATGAGATCGATATATTGTACGCTCAAAACGGATAATGAATTAATTAAAAATTAATTCTCCAAGTAGACTCATTTGAGTTTGAAAATGAAAGTAAAAAGGCTTCGAAAAAATACTTATCCCACATTATATTGGAAAAAGAAGTGGATTTGCACCATTATATATATAAGTCCATTTTATAAGGAAGTTGAAAGCAGCATTTTAACACTCATTCACTTAGATATGTTACCGATAGTTGGGAATAGTCACCAATTGGGAGACATGCTATTAGGAAGTTCCCAATCAAAGCAGTGTACTAGTTGTGCCACCACAAGTTGAATCACAACCATTTCAAGTTGTAAATCAGGACAACTTCTTCTACCAGAGCCAAAAGGGATGAGTTCAAAATTGCACCCTTTGTAGTCTCTATTGCTCCCTTCAAGCCTCTTATTAAAGATTAATTGTATTAGTCTTTTTATATTTGCTGTATTATTTAGTCTTCGGGTTTGCAGTAGCTCTCCTTTAGAATAGTTCCTTTAAGCTTGGTTTCCATCTTTTCCTCTTCTGTTGTATGTAACGTCATCACTGGACTATAAATAGCCAATACTTGCTATGATTAATACATATGATTTTCTCACCTTTACTCCAACGAGAATTAATTTTTTTTCTACTCCACTATTTCCAATGGAAATCACTGTTGAAACACAGCTTGGATTGTTTATCTTACTGCTGCCATCCATCTCCCGATCCGTCTAAATCCTACCAACTTTCTAGTTTGGCTTCATCAAATTCACTCCACACTGGTTGGTCTCGGCCTACTGGCCATGTTGACGGCACCGTCCCCAAACTCGCTGCATTTCTGGATGCAGCACGTACAACATCAAATCCGGCTCATCAAATCTGGTACCGTCAAGATCATATTACTGTTAGCATTCTCTTAGGGAGCTGCACCAAGTTGATTGAACTGGTGATCTCTTATGCTCCCACCGCTGCTACAGCTTGGGATCAGCTCACAAAGAGATATGCAAACTCATTAAAATGACGCATCATTTGCTCAAAGCTAAGCTAGCTCAAAATCCAAAAGGTAGCAAGTCCGTCTTTGAATATCTCCAAGATATGAAGGCCATTGCGGATGACTTGGCATTGGCGCAAAACCCCGTTTCTGATGACGATCTCGTGGTCCATGTGATCACACCGTTAGGGGATATTTTCATCCTATTGTCGTGGAAATCCGTGTACGTGAGACTTTGTTAACATATGCTGATCTAATGGAAATGCTTGTCGACTTTGAGAGGTCCCTAAAGCAAAATGCGGAAAGTCTGACCTTCCTGCGAATGTACTGCAGAAACCGTCCTCTCGGAACCGTGCGAATGGAGCTGTTGCTGGGTCATATAGGTATCGTGGTTCTTGGAGCATCAAATCGATCCAACAACTCCAATGCTAGGAATGGTAGGTATTGTCGTTTCCGTGATTATCCTAGCCATGACACAAAATTTTGCAGGAAGCTTACAATTCCTTAAAGACAATGATATCCAAGTTGGTGGTCCACAACCCTCCACCCCAGTGGCTAATACCACTACGTCTAGATGCGGTCGTTGGGCAGTAGATGGCTTACCTTGTGCGTATGTCATTGTCGCATGCCATTATAGAGAGACTATCGCGGACTCCTTTGTGCCACAAGTCTTCTCATTAGAGTATTACATAACGAGTTATATGCAGGAGACTTGAATCCATTGTCAGATGACGAAGTTCAGCTGACCACAACGCTCGCATATTTGCCACCCTCAAGTGCCCGTCGAAAAGCAACATAAAAGTCGATTTCCTAATGAAAATGGACTTTGGTAGTCACCCTTGTTGATGACGATATGTCCTTTATGTAATTTATTGCTCCTTTGTTAATATGAATATCATGAAAATTTACCATATAGTTGCACTAATTACACACAGTGGCGGACCCAGGATTTTTCGTCAGTGGGGACGGAACATTACAACGAAAAGATAATTTGAAAAAAAAAAAGATGAAACATTTAAAAAATATAATCATAAATATTTTTAGATATGAGTAAAAAATAAAACATATCAAAACTTTATAAAAATATTCATAATAAAATTTGAAACATAATTAATTTGATAAAATAATTAGAATAGAAAATGCATTATAAATTACACATCTCAATATATATAGGCTAACTATTAAACCAATATTTGTGCACTTGACTTAACCAAAGGTTTAATACACGCCCTACCAACTAAACCAATTCAACACTTGTTAATATTTTTGTGTTTTATTGTAGTTATACTTAAAACCTGTTCTATATATACATATATACATACAAGGATAATATAGGGGTAGGGTGGGGGAGTGGGAGCAGCTGCCCCCATGCTGGGTCCGCCCCTGATTACACATTTATAATTATCAAGTTCACCACAATACAAATAACGAAATAAATAAATAAATACATAGTAAAAATATTTAAAAATATGTTATTAGTATCATACAATCCATCGTACTATTTAAAATTTAAAAATCTTTGCTTATGTTATTATTATTTTTTTGAAAACTTTTTTTTATTAATTAATATTTAATAAAATAAAAATTTTAAAAAATAAATTCGAATTGATAAAAATTTCATATTATTGCCGGCCTTCTTCTCAACTTTTAAAAAATTGAGAGTGAAAAAAAGGCAATACTATTACCTTCTTCTTTTAACTTGAAAAAAGAAAGTGAAAAGAAGGCAATACATTTGCCTTCTTTGTGCACATAAAACAACTAAATGTTTTGTCCTAACCTTATCAAATATACACATTATTAACTATGACTCCCATATTGACAGCATTACAATAAATTTGGTATTTTACTTATTTATTATATATATATAAAGAAAGCAGCATTCTAACACTCATTCACTTAAATATTTAACCGATAGTTGGGAATAGTCACCAAGTGCTTAGCACGAGTTGTCACAAGAGCAAATTCCTCTGTCATGTCCAACTCCTTGGGAGACATGCTATTAGGAAGTTCCCAATCAAAGCAGTATACTAGCTGTGCCACCACAAGTCGAACCACAACCATTCCAAGTTGTAAATCTGGACAACTTCTTCTACCAGAACCAAAAGGAATGAGTTCAAAATTACACCCTCTATAGTCTATATTGCTCCCTTCAAACCTCTCTGGAATGAATCTATCAGGATCAACCCAAACATTTGAATCATGTCCAATTGCCCAAACATTTACAATAATTCGTGCTCTTTTTGGTATGTGAAAGCCGTCAACTATGCAATCCTCCCTTGCTGCGCGAGGAATAAGTAACGGTCCTGGAGAATGAAGTCTAAATGATTCTTTAATTACCATTTCTAAATATTTCAAGCCATCCAAATCTGATTCCACCACCATCTGATCCAAACCTACCTTACTTTCTAATTCTTGTTGAACATTCTTCATTATATGTGGGTGTCTCAATAGTTCTGACATTATCCATTCAATAACGGTTGCTGAAGAATCTATTGATGCCACAAGCATATCCTACATACATATAAGCATTTAAAAAAAATTAATAATAATAATTACTCTAAATAAAAGTGAAAAAATTATGACAATTATCATACTTGAAAATATATAGATAAATGAATATGAATGATTACCAACAAAACAGATTTGATATGTTGACGATTGAACTGAAATTCACTTTTTTCAGACTTCATGATGGACAACATGATATCTACAAAATCCTTTGTCTTCTTACCACTGCTTCCACTGTGTTCATGGTCATCAAGGATCCTCTCAAGGAACCGATCAAAGACTTTGGCAATGGCCTTGGTTGGTGCAGTGAGTCCTTGAAGGTCAAGCTTTCCAAGATAAGGAAAATAATCTCCAAGATTTGGCTTAAATACTAGCTGTGTAGCTTCGTTAATCACAGCTTTAAAACCCCTCTCATCAATATCCTTAATCTCGTACTTCTTCCCAAACACCATCCTGCTGATGAAGCAAGCTAAAACTCTCACCAAGACCATCAGTAAAGAAGGCAGTGAAGGCAGCACAGTGAAGGATGTCAAACAGTTATAACGGCCATGGGCCTTTTTGTCCTTTCCCATTTTTAGTTATAACGGCTTCAAGTCTTCAGTGTATATTCATATAAAATGAACTTCCCGCCTAGGCTTTCATCTATCACAAATATCACAACTCATTTTTCATCTTCTCTCTGTAACCACCATCTTCAATCAATGAATTTCACCATCACTTTTGCTTGAATTGAACCATTTCAACATGGTATCAGAGCTGCATCGAAGCTATGCCGCAGCGGTAATGGCTGAAAACGATGCAAGAAGTTCGTCTGGACAGCAAGGAGGAGGTCCACCGATTCAGAGTTCGATGAATCCAGATCTAGCTCAGCGCACTGGTGAATCAGAGGATCCGTATTACATACATGTGACTGAGAATCCAAATTTGGTTCTAGTCTCCCCACCTCTCTCAGAAGTTAACTATGCTTCCTGGATTCGTTCGATGAAAATGGCTTTAGAAGTCAAAAATAAGCTCTGTTTTGTGGATGGAAGCATCATGAAACCGGCTGAAACTGATCGTAAGTATCCAATTTGGAGGCAATGTAATAATATCGTCTGCTCCTAGATATATAAGTCCCTAAGTCCTACCATCGCAGAAGGAGTCCTTTATTTGGAAGATGATGCGGATATTTGGAACGCTCTCAGGAAGAGATACTCCCAGGTTGATCCTCATAGGATCGCTGAGTTGCAGAACGAGATCTACCGTTGTTCTCAAGGTAATCTATCCATAAATGAGTACTTCACTAAAAGTAACAGTTTATGGGTGCAGTTGAATGCTATGCGGCCTATTCCTGCTTATGAATGCGTACCAAAAGGTTGTTGTAATCTTGTAAGCAAAATTCAGAAAGAGAAAGAGGAAGATCAGATTATCAGGTTCTTAGAAGGTCTGAATGAGGACTATGAGAACATCAAATCTGGAATCCTGGTTATGGATCCCACGCCAGCTATGGAGAAAGTCTTGAACATGACTTTGAAAATGGAGAGGAAGCTCAGGAGCTCAATTAACACCAAGAGTACTGATCTGGTTCAGGCAAATGCAGTGGTGAATAATCAGCAAGAAGCAGAAGAACAGGTCATGGTGGCAATAGCAACTTCAAATAACAAGAAGAAGTTTAGTGGTAGTTCAGGAAGAAATGTGCCTAAATGCACTTACTGTGGAATGATGGGACACACAATTGAGAAATGTTATAAGAAACATGGATACCCTCCTGGGTGGGTTCCAGGTTTTAAATCCAAGAATAAATATAATCAGGACAGTCAACAGTCTCTCAATGCTTCTGTGAATCAGATTGGGGAAGCAGGGCTGTCTGTTGAGCAGTTTCAGAAACTTCTCACTCTCTTGCAAGGCCAAAACCAGCCTGGACATGCTTCAACTAGTGCAGCTGTGGCAATGAATAACACTGGTCTCAGATCAGACTTCAAGAATTGGGATAAAGGCAACAAAGGCAAGTCTATTTCTAATCTTTTTGCTAATAATGTGCTAAATTCACCTGATGTCTGGATAGTAGATTCAGGTGCTACTGATCACATTGTGTGTTCTTTGGATTATTTTGATTATTTCTATAATGTGTGTGGAGTTCTTGTTAAACTGCCAAATGGAGAAAATGTGGAAGTCACACACATAGGACAAGTCAAATTGCACATGGATCTTGTGTTGAATAATGTGTTGTTCATCCCAGCTTTCACTTTTAATATCATCTCTGCAAGTAAGCTAACAAGACAGTCCAATTATGAGATTGTTGTGAGGGCTGACTCTTGTGTGCTTCAGGGGCAGCATGGAATAGTGGATGGTTTTGCTAGGGAAAGAGATGGCTTGTACCTGCTTACCAAACCTCCTTCCAGGAAGAAAACTTTGTCAACTTTTTTTTGTAACATTCTTTCTATAGAATTGTGGCACAATAGACTAGGACATTATCTTGTGAACAAGTTGCATTTGTTGAAAGGAATAAAAATTGCTTCCCCTCATAAATCTCCTGCTCTTGTGTGTGACATTTGTCATTTTGCTAAGCATAAGAGGTCCAACTTTCCTGTTAGTCTGAGCAAAGCTGAAAGGCCTTTTGATTTGCTACAAATGGATGTTTGGGGGCCCTTTGCTGTGCCATCTCTACAAGGAAGCCATTACTTTCTAACCATTGTGGATGATCATAGTAGGTTCACATGGTTACATTTGATAAAGCATAAGTCAGAAGTTAGAACTGTCTTCCAGAACTTCTACAATTATGTCTGGACTCAGTTCACAACCAGAATCAAAATGGTCAGGACAGATAATGGAGGAGAATTCATGTTAGACAACTTGTTTAAAGAGAAGGGCATCATCCATCAGAGGTCTTGTGCCTATACTCCCCAACAGAATGGGGTGGCTGAGAGAAAGCATCAGCACATTCTCAACACTGCCAGAGCCTTGAAATTTCAAGTTGGTTTATCAGATGAGTTTTGGGGTCATTGTGTTCTGCATTCATCATATTTGATCAATAGGTTACCCACTGAGGTTCTCCATGGCAGTTCTCCTTTTCAGATCTTATTTAATAAGGAGGTGGATTATAATCAGCTAAGGTCTTTTGGATGTCTATGCTTTGCTGCTACACCATCACAAGGTAGAAACAAGATGCAGTCAAGGGCTAGAAAAAGTATCTTCCTGGGCTTTCCTGCTGATGTGAAGGGATACCTTTTACATGATTTGGATAACAAAGTCACCTTTGTATCCAGAGATGTTACATTCTATGAGCATATTTTTCCTTGCAACAATGGTGATTCAGGAAATAATGATGATAAGAGTATATCAGAGATGTTCAATCTCCCATTGCCTCTGGTCCCCATTTCTACTAAAATGGACACCACTAGTCTGGAACAGGTGGATAGACACATTATTGAGGAAGACCATAGTCACATCTTTGAGGAAACCAATCATGATCACTACTCAGGTTCTCCAGATCAGTCAAACACTGGAAACCATCCCTGGGAAACTGCTGAACATTATTCCCATGATAGGGACTCTGATGAATCTTTGCAGCTTGAGGTTCTCTTACCTATGGATCATGTTGATCGGCCACAACCTAGAAGATCAACAAGAGAGAGGGTTGCTCCTCTTAAGTTCCAAGACTACTTATGCCAGTCAAAATTGATACACAGAACATCTCCACATTATCTTGAGAAAGTCATATCCTATGACAACTTACATCCCAATCATAGGCTTTGTGCTTCTTCCATAACCTATGTACATGAGCCTCAGTCCTATAAGGAGGCCATCAAGAGTGCTGAATGGAGGCAGGCCATGGAAGCTGAGATAGAAGCCTTGGTCCACAATAATACATGGACCTTGACAGAACTGCCAGCAGGAAAGATTCCAATTAGTTGCAAATGGGTGTATAAGGTCAAACTTAAAGCTAATTGATCCATAGAAAGATACAAGGCTAGATTGGTGGCCAAGGGATACACTCAACAGCTTGGAGTGGATTATATTGAAACTTTTTCACCTGTAGCAAGGATGACTACAATCAGAACATTTCTGGCAGTAGCTGTTGCTAGTAATTGGGCAATTGAGCAACTAGATATCAATAATGCTTTCCTCCATGGTGATCTAGAAGAGGAGGTTTACATGGTTTTACCACCAGGATTCCAGAACAGCAAGCCAAATCAAGTATGCAAACTTATGAGATCATTGTATGGTCTAAAACAAGCTTCTAGTCAGTGGAATGCAAAATTAACCAGAGCCTTGCAGAACATGGGTTTCTCTCAGTCCTTAACAGATCCCTCTTTGTTCACTAAACAAACAGGTAGTTCTTTCATGGCCCTATTAATATATGTGGATGATATTCTGGTGGCAGGGACAGACTCTATTCAAATACAAGCTCTCAAACAGTTATTGGATAATGCTTTTAAGATCAAGGATCTTGGCAATCTGAACTACTTCTTAGGCATTGAAGCCTTTAGAACTCCCAAGGGCATTAACCTATGCCAAAGAAAATATACCCTGGACATCTTGCAAGAATATGGTTTTTTAGAAGCAAAACCTGCACCAACACCTTCTGTCTGTGGCCAAAAACTCAATTCCAGTGAAGGCAACCTCCTTGAGCATCCTGAGGATTATAGAAGGCTGGTTGGTAAGCTCCTCTATCTAACCAACACCAGGCCAGACATAACATATTCAATCCAGCAGCTGAGTCAATTTGTGGATAAACCAAGGAATAGTCACCTAATGGCAGGTCATAGGGTATTGAGATACCTTAAAGGGTCCCCTGGAAAAGGCATTTTTTACTCCTCTAACAACCATCTTAGACTGCAGGGTTTCTCTGATTCAGACTGGGCATCTTGCATTGAATCTAGGAAGTCCTTGACTGGTTATTGTGTCTATCTTGGAGATTCATTAATCTCATGGAAGACCAAGAAGCAAGTAACTGTTTCCAGATCTTCCTCAGAAGCAGAGTACAGGGCTTTGGCATCAACAACTTGTGAGCTACAATGGTTATTGTATTTACTGGCAGATTTGGGGGTAGAAGTAATCCAGCCTGTGGCATTGTTTTGTGATAGCAGTTCTGCTATTGCTATAGGAGAAAATCATGTGTTTCACACGTACAAAACACATTGAAATCGACTGCCATGTTGTGAGACAAAAGATTCAAGAAGGAGTCCTTAAACTGTTGAGTATCACTTCTCAAAATCAGACAGCAGATGGATTCACAGAGGCTTTATCAAAACCTTTATTTGATAGATTTCATGCTAAGCTGGGCTTGCAGGACCTCCATGCTCCAGCTTACGGGGGTGATGAAGCAAGCTAAAACTCTCACCAACACCATCAGTAAAGAAGGCAGTGAAGGCAACACAGTGAAGGATATCAAACAGTTATAACGGCCAGGGGCCTTTTTGTCCTTTCCCATTTTTAGTTATAAAGGCTTCAAGTCTTCAGTGTATATTCATATAAAATGAACTTCCCGCCTAGGCTTTCATCTATCACAAATATCACAGCTCATTTTTCATCTTCTCTCTGTAACCACCATCTTCAATCAATGAATTTCACCATCACTTTTGCTTGAATTGAACCATTTCAACACCTGCAACTTATATCTGCAGCTAATTCAGAAACTTTAGCACTCAAATCAACAGGCACATGATTCAGAGCCGCTTCCTTGAGTGACTCAATATGATAACACAATTCTTCTCTTCTCACTGCTTGAAATGAATTGATCTTATGATTACTAAGCAACTCTAATGAGCACAATTTGCGCATGTTGCGCCAATAAGGACCGTAGTGGCTAAAGCTCAAATTCTTTTGATCATAAGATATATACTTAGCTGCCTCATTGGGTGGTCTGTTTGTAAAAATAAGATCATGAGTCTTGAGGAAGAGCTCTGCAGCCTGAGAAGATGAAACAATAATATTGTCGACGTACCCAAATCGCAAATACATTATAGGACCATATTGTTTGGCTAGCTTGTTCAAATGCCGATGGGGATTATTTTTACCAATCATCAAGTGAAGGTGTCCCAAAATGGGAAGCCCTCTTGGACCTGGCGGTAATTTCTTGGCTTTCATCTTCTTTACAAGGCCATGAATGAGAGACACAGCTGCAAACACAGCAAGTGTTGTCCAAAGCCATGCCATCTCCAAATTAAATGTGTTTATGTATCATCAAGTGGCTTAGCTTGGAAGAGATTTATAGCTGTACTACTGTCATCTATCAAACATAAATTGTTCAAGTAATTAAAGTATAATGTGTATATAGTAATTCATTATATTTTATCAACATTATATTATATTGCTTAGTTATAATTCTATGTAAGTCTTCAACAACCACTCATGTACTATACGTACAGTACGTAGATCTGTCAACATTGCTTATTCGCTTTTGCATATATGTTTGTTGGTATTCCTAATTGTCCTGAATAGTGAACATAGTTACGTTATTATTTGCTATCCACGCATGTGACATGTCCGACTAGCGGCTGAGATCTGCCAAGATGGGGTTCATGTAATAGGTACATCCGCACATTTGAAAAACTTGAAAATCAAAATTGATCTATGTTGTAACTTAATTGTTGGTTATGCATGTCATAACAAATCTTTTAATAATATATTTCACATTTATTAAAAGTGATATGATCAAAACATTTATATGTTAATCCAGACTCATATTTTCTACTAACAAATTAAAGAAAAATAGAGGGGAAGTCATGGAAAACATTATTTAGTTGTTGTGACGCAAATATTACCCCAGTCTCCAGTTGAGGTTTGTAAAGAAATGTTGACCAATGACCTAAAAACTCTCTAGTAGCCAAATATATAACCCAACATTTTTCTTCGTATATATGCAACCCATAGAGCAATAATCGTACAAGTCAAATGGTCATGCATGTAATTAGGTTTTGCAAATTAAACAAAACCAAGAATGTGTTGTTACTCTTTTTATCTTGAAAATGTGGTGAAGTGAATGTGGCAAGTTCATTTAAGTGAAAATTTAAAGAAATAAAAACTCCAAAGACCACACTATCTGAAACGCAGACTCGGGAAAAGGATGGTGTGGCAGACCTTAAGATTGACATGAGCAAAGCATATAATAGAGTTGAGTGGAGGTTTCTAAGAGCTATTATGGTTAAAATGGGGTTCAAGCAAAAATGGATAAATATTCTTTTAGAAACGGTCAGTTCTATCAAATATCATATTCTCTAGGGTTTTTTACTGAAATGGGAAGGGATAAATGGTTTTGGACAATAATGGGAAGCCTTCTTTTTTTTACAGGAATAGGAAAAACGAGTTTGGGAAACGCGGTTGGGGTAAAAACCGCATTTCCCAAACTCGGTTGGTTTGCGAATATACGGTCATGACAACCGCATTTCCCAAATGCGGTTGTCATATACACAAAGCCGCATTTGGGATATGCGGCTGTCGTATATCATACGCTGGCTGCATTTCCCAAAGTTGCAGTGATAACGGGTGGCACCAGCAGCATCGGAGAATGTTCGGCGAGGCTTTTTGTCCGGCACGGGGCGAAGGTCATCATTGCGGATATCCAGGGGAAGACTACGTGTCCTACGTGCACTGCAACGTGAGACGCGAAGCCGATGTCGAAAACGCGGTGAACACCGCCGTGTCCAAGCAAGGGAAGCTAGACATCATGTTCAGCAACGCCGGAGTTCCCGGAAAGGGTGGAGAGTCGTCGTCGTGGTCGATCCTCGACGCCGACTACGCGCGACAACTTCAGAACCGTGCTCGACGACAACGTGTTCGGAGCCTTCCTGTGCGTGAAACACGCGGCGCGGGTCATGATCCCTGTTAGATTATGTGAAAAACAGATGGTGATGATTGATAGCTGAACACATTGCAGAGAAGAAGAAGAAGTACTCTCATTATTGTGTGTCAGTCGTTCATTACAGCAGCAAGAAGCATTATATATGAAAGCCTGGTCTATTCAAAAAATGGTTATAACAGAAAATATGAGTGTAAAGACAAGAATGCCCTTTGGGCTTAAGATGACAAGAACAACCATGATCCCTTGACTGCCTTGACTCCTCTTATGACTGCATCAGCTTGTAATCTCCAACACCCCCCCCCCCTAAGCTGGGGAATGGACATTCTGAAGCCAGCTTAGAATGAAAAATTTCAAACATTGGTTTCGATAAAGCTTTTGTAAATCCATCAGCAATCTGCTTCTGTGATGAAATAGGGAGCAATCTGATCACTCTGTCTTGTACTTTCTGTTTGACAACATGGAAATCAATCTCAATGTGCTTGGTGCGTTCATGAAAGACATGGTTCTCACCAATGGCAATTGCAGATTGATTATCACAAAAGAGGGAAGTGGGACTATCACATGGCACACCCAAATCTGTTAGCAGATAATGCAGCCATTGGATTTCACATACAGTAGAAGCCAAAGCTCTGTATTCTGCCTCAGAGGAAGACCTTGAGACAGTAGCTTGCTTCTTAGTTCTCCAGGAAATTAAGGCTTCTCCAAATTATATGCAGTAGCCAGTGATGGACTTTCTAGTCTCTGAACATGTAGCCCAATCTGAGTCAGAAAAGCCTTGCAGCCTAAGAGGGATAGAATAGACCTTTTCCTGAAGATCCCTTGAGGTACCTGAGTACTCTATGAGCTGCTGTTAGATGAATGTGTGTAGGTTTGTCAACAAATTGACTCAATTGTTGAACTAAATGTGAAATATCTGGCCTGGTATTAGTCAGATAAAGGAGCTTCCCAATCAACTTTCTGTAAACCTCTGGATCATTCAATGGAATCCCCTCTGTACTGGTTAGTTTCTGACCTGTGGTTGCAGGAGTTTTGGCTGGTTTGGCCTCCAAAAAACCATTCTCTCTCAAGATCTCTAGAGTATACTTCCTCTGACAAATATTGATGCCATCAGAATTTCTGAGAGCCTCAATCCCCAGGAAATAATTCAGACTACCAAGGTCCTTTATTTTGAAAGACATGTCCAGGAATTTTTTCAGCTCATTGATTTGTGATGAAGTAAAAGAGTTGCCTGAAGTAAGGAAGTAAGGAAGTAAAAGAGTTGCCTGAAGTCTTTGTGAACAAAGAAGGGTCTGCTGTGGACTGATGGAAACCAATTAGCATTAATGCCTGTGTTAACTTTTCATTCCACTGCCTGCTAGCTTGTTTTAAGCCATATAATGACTTTAGAAGCCTGCAAACCTGTCTAGGACTATCAATCTGGAAACCAGGAGGTGGAACCATGTAAACTTCCTCCTTTAGATCCCCATGTAGGAAGGCATTGTTGATGTCCAACTGTTGAATATCCCAATTCTTAGCAACTGCTACAGCCAGGAATGTTCTAATGGTGGTCATCCTAGCCACAAGTGAGAAAGTTTCAGTGTAATCAACTCCCAATTGTTGAGTATACCCTTTTGCAACCAATCTAGCCTTGTATCTTTCTATAGAGCCATTTGCTCTATGTTTAACCTTGTATACCCACTTGCAGCCAATAGGAGATTTTCCTGCTGGAAGATCTGTTAGGGTCCAAGTGTTGTTGGCAATCAATGCATCTATCTCAGTCTGCATTGCCTTTCTCCAAGGTTCATGTTGAACAGCTTCTTGATAGGACTGTGGTTCATGAGTAGAAGAAATAGACATAGCACATGTCCTATGACCAGGAGGGAGATGATCATAATATATGACTTTGTCTAATGAATGTGGGGATGTGCTGTCCTTATTTTTCACCATGGATTGGCAATAGTAGTCATGCAGCTTAGTGGGGATGTTCCTGGTTCTCCCAGACCTTCTAGGATGTGTCAGTCTGATCTCTGTGGTCTCATTTGTTCCATTGGTGAGATCAACTTAAATAGAATGTGGCTGAACATCCACTGGTGGTTGATCAATTTCAGTGGGATGTGGCTCATCAGGAAGTGAAGGCTGATTGAATTCAAGAGTTGGTGAAACCTGATCAAAGTCAGCTGGATGTAGCTCAATATCTGGTGGTGAGTCATTCATCTCAACAGAGTGTGGTTCCACATTTTGAGTGTTGAAATACATTTGCCTTCCTGTAGCATCTGTATCAACTGAAACAGGAATTAAAGGCAGAGAGGGATTAAAATGTTGAGACTCACTGTTGACTCCTGAAATATTTCCCTTATAGGGATAGATATCTTCATAGAACGGCAGCGTGATCTTCACTTCCAGCGTGGCTTCGGTGACGTACGGCAACGTGCCGCACGAGTACTCGGCGTCGAAGCACGCCGTGGTGGGGTTGGCGAAGAATTTGGGGGTGGAGATGGGGAGGTATGGGGTGAGAGTGAACTGTGTGTCGCCGTACTAGGTGGCGACGCCGATGCTGAGGGGTTGCGTAGGGATAGATGAGAAAGAAAAGGTGGAAGAATTTGTGGGTGAGATAGCAAACTTGAATGTCGTATACGACAGCCATGCGGTTGTCGTATACAGCTGTCGTATATTATACGACAGCCGCATTTCCCAAATGCGGTTGTCATGACCGTATATTCGCAAACCAACCGAGTTTGGGAAATGTGGTTTTAACCCCAACCGCGTTTCCCAAACTCGTTTTTCCTATTCCTGTCAAAAAAAAAAAAAAAAAAAAAGGCTTTCCATTATTATCCAAAACCATTTGTCCCTTCCCATTTCAGTCAAAAATCCTATTCTCTATGACCAAAGGCATTTGGGGCCGATCATTCCAGGACGGGCCAACAACAGGGCGACCATTTATAATTGTATCTCTTTTTATTGGTTGCCAAAGGGTTAAGGGCGTTGATTGACAATAAAATGAGCGGAGGGCTGTTGCATGGGGTAAGTATCGCGAGAGGGGCACCACCAATATCACACCTCTTATTTGCAGATGACTGCTTCCTTTTCCTATGTGCGAACAGTGTGGAAAGCTACCAATTGAAAGGGGTTTTGCAGTCATATGGTATAGCTTCGGGACAACAAATTAATTTCGATAAATCCGTGGTCTGTTTCAGTTCTAACATTGACCAAAGAAGTAGAAATGATGTAGTCCGTATTCTTGGTGTTAGTCAAGGGGACACAGCGGGGAAGTACTTTCGGCTTCAATTCCTTCGTTAGTCGGCATGCAGAAATAAGAAGATGATTCTGGGCTTTCTAAAGAATACATTTTTGAACTGTGTCCGTAGCTGGAACTCTAAATTCCTTTCCAGAGCTGGCCGTGAAGTGTTATTGAAGAATGTCTTACAGCTTTGTCGTGTTATGCAATGATGGTCTTCCTTTTACCAGTCAGTCTTTGTAAGAAAATCGAATCAATCCTTAATCAGTACTGGTGGACAGGCACGATGGGTGACAAGAGGATCCTGAGGTGGAAATCATGGCATGGATTGTGCGCACCAAAACTGAAAGGAGGTATGGGTTTCCGGAAATTACGGGAAATGAATCTTTCTCTCTTAGGTAAGCAGGCTTGGCGTACTTACTCGCCCGGATTCGCTTGTTGCTCGTGTTTATAAAAGCAGGTACTATCCTCATTCTTCGTTTTTTTTATGCAGCCCCTGGGAGTAATCCATCGTATATATGGCATAGTATTCTAGAAGCGAAAAATATGATTAAGAGGGCTTGTCGAAGAAGCATTGGAGATGGTAGGACTACAATAATTGGTAATGATCCCTGGCTCGCATTTGCTGATGATCCTTATGTCCGAACTGATTTGCATCATTCAATTAAGGAGGCTCCGGTAAGCTCCCTTTTTAATGACCAAGGTTCCGGTTGAGATATTGATTGTGTTAAAGATGTTTTTGATGAGCGAGATGTAAACTGCATTCTTAATATCCCAGTAAGTACATGACAACCCCCTGATACATGGGTTTGGAAGGGGGAAACTAAGGGAGAATATTCAGTTAAGTCATGCTATCGTATGTTGGCCGATGAGATCCATGATATTAGGCCTTGGCATCTTGTTTCAAACCTGCAGGTACCACCTAAAGTAAAAATGTTTTGTTGGCAATTTGGCTCATCCATTCTGCCAACGCGGAATGCTCTAAGCATGAAGCATATTTCGTGCACCATTTTTTGTCACATGTGTGGTCTTGAAGAGGAATCAACTACCCACTTGTTTACAGATTGTCATTATGCCGCTGCCATATGGTCCAATTTCCAACTGCCGAATACTCTGCATGTTCAAGGTAATATAGTGGATTGGTTTTTTGACCTTTTGACTAAGCTAAAAGATGATAGGCGATGCAAGTTTGTAATACTTTGTTGGCCTCTTTGGGGTAGCAAAAATGATTGGGTTTGGAAAGGAGTACCTTTTGCCAGTGATCCAATTGTTCATATTGCTCTATCCTTTTGGGCAAATTGGAAAGTGGTGAATACTGTGGATAGCAATAACAGTGGAATGCAAGTTAATTCGGCTGGATGGAATTTGCCAGCCGCAAAAAGGTTGAAGTTGAATACGGACGCTGCCTTTGATGTGGAGAATAATGTTATGGGTCTTGGTTGGATATTACGGGATGACGGTGGTCGCTTCTTGGCGGCCAAAAGTCTTCGTATCCCTGGTCAATATAGTGTGCTGGAAGCGGAGGTGGTTTGTATCCAAGAAGCTCTAACTTGGCTTAAAGATACAGGACTTGGGGATGTAGATGTTGAAACGGACTCGCAATTATGTTTTTATGCTTTACATTTGAACTCCTTTTATTCTGCTTTTGGTTTTTTAGTAGATGATGTTAAAGAAGTTGCCTCTATGATTAATGGGGTTGACTTTGAGTTTTTTAAGTGATCTGCGAATCGTGTTGCCCACACTCTTGTTAGGGAAGCCGTTTCTTTATCAGGTTGCGGGGAGTAGTTTGATTATCCTCCCCATTACCTTGTTGCTGTTCTTTTTTTCTGATTTAATGAATTAATTTCTTTCCCTAAAAAAATAAATAAATAAATAAATAACTCCAAAGACCACTCAACTTTTCACATGGAACACCTTTCAACATGACAAACAAGCAAGCAATAAGGCCGATTCAATCCATATTTCTCAAGAGTATGGATGACAATTTCAATCCGTCCGAATTTACCTCACATGGATTAGGTTTTTTTGATTGGTGGGTGGGGTGGGTCAGGGTGGGTCTTAAAAAATTAAACCCGTGGTGGGTTGGGTTGGGTTCAGGTTTTATGTACAAAACCCACCTAGAAACACACCCGGGCCACCATGTCTGTGTGTGTGTCAAATAAGTACTAGTAAGTAGTTAATTATACAAATTTATAGAACTTCTTATTATTTTTAGTTCTAAACGAATTAATAAGTTTATTATGAACAAAGTATAAAATAAATGTTACTAAATGTGACGCATCCACAGTATAATGTTTACGTACATTAAGTTTAGTGTTTATGGACATTAAGACTTAGGTTTATGGACATATAAAACAAATATTATGAATATAGTACAAGTTGATTGTTATTGAACGTTATGCTTAAATAACATAATGTTATGTACATTAAACTTTATTTTTATGAACATATAAAATAAACATTATGAACCTACTATAGAGTGAACGAAAATACATATGATATATGTTTAGTTTAATGTTTATGAACATTAAGGTTTAAGTTTATAGACATATAGAACAAATATTATGAACATAGTACATAATGATGTTATTAAATATGTTGCACTAGTTGACACTCTATAAAATGACGTTGTTTTGGACCAAGGTCCACCATGCAAGGTGAACCTTGGTCCATAATTTGCCTTTGTCAAGTAGTCATTTACAGCAAATTATATCATGCACCGCAGTGCATAATCGATTATGCACCGCGCATCAAAACGACGTCGTTTTGTTAAATGAAAAGAAACGGCATTTGTTTTCCGCACCCTTCGGCAAAAAGTAACTCTGTTATTCAGTTTCATTTTGTATACACTGCAGTTTCAGTTCAACACAACTACAGTTTCATTTCGATATAACTACAGTTTCATTCGATATTTATAGACTCAAATATGTGAAAATGTTATTTAATTTTATTTTATATACACTATAGTTTTATTAAAACACAACTACATGATCATTTTGATGTAATTACGATTTCATTTTACAATATATACTAAAATATGTGAAATGTTATTCAGTTTCATTTTATATAGACTGCAGTTTCATTTCACCACAACTACAGTATCATTTCGATATAACTGCAGTTTTATTTCATAATATAAAAATAATACGTAAGGGAATGTCGGTTTAGATGTATTATAGTGTCAGTTGGTGTTTAATACACCAAACATGCAGACTCCGTTAACGGTAATGTCAGCCCGTTTCTTTACTTAAAGAAACGGCGTCGTTTTTTACCGCGGTGCTG